TGTGTGTGTGTGTGTGTGTGTGTGTGTGTGTGTGGTGGGGGTTGGAGGGACACTGGGAGTGAACTTTAGCCAGTTTGACTTTTTCTGAGAAGTTCAGATCACTACAGCTTCAGCTGGTTTGGATTAAGAAGTAAGCCGTTTTCCTGCTCTCTCGGTAAGTGATTTTCAGGGGCCACTGGGCCTTGATCGTCACACAGTTGGGGAGAAAGGGAGAGGAAAAGGAGGGAGAAGGAGAGAAAGGGTAGAAGAGTCTTGAAATGAAAGGCCGAGGAGGGAATTTGTGAACTTGAACAATGCTCAGCGCATGTGAAGTTGGACTATGTATTTAAAAAGACTTTGCCAGCGTCCGTATCCCAGGACTAACTTTCCTTCCGGCCAGCAATTCCTTTTGTTCTTTGGTTTGTGTGGATGTTGATGATGATGGTGGTGGTGGTGGTGGTGATGATGATGATATTGTCAGCTCTGCACCCTTAGGTCAGGAAGGGTAAGAATAAGAACCCCCATGCCCTGGCATCCGTGGAAATACCTGGTGTTGGAAGTAAAAGAACCTCATAAATGTGATGGAATACCTCAGGGCTAAGGCACCCCCGGAGCCTGCTCTCTCCGGACCTGTTTGGGGCCTGATTGTGGAGGCCCAGCCCAGTCCCCTGCCTCCAGGCCCCCTGGGAAGGGACGTCCTCCTGGCCTCACCCCTTCCTGGCCAGCCAGTTGCCCGCCCAGGTCCCAGTAGCTGGATGTGCAGGCTCGTGGATGGGCCAAGGCGGCTACCTCTACTGCTACATCTTTGTGGACAACTAACTATACTGACACACAGACAAGTATGACCACCTGCTGGCCTTAACCAGTGCCCTATCTTACTTCGTCCTTTCCCTTTCTTGCAAAAAGGTGGCGATGCGTTCAGGGCCAGTTGCGGGTTTGGAGGAGGAGGGTACACACCCAAACGTCACGTGCTGGCCAGAGCTGTGTTCTGAGAACTAAATGGTAGGCCTGCCTACCCACGATGGCACCTGGGCACTCACAGGAACTGATCATCGTCTTGTCCCATTTAATAAGCGCGGTGTGGTCCAGTCACAGCCCCAGGGGAGGACGGCGGGCCCCCCGGATAATAAGCGCTGTTGTCCAGATGGACGCGCAGGCCTGGAGCCGAAATGAGTGCGGCCGGCTCCTCGGTTAGGACACGTCCTGCTGCCTGGCACCGCCTCTCATCTGAGCAGCGGCCAAGCCCCTGCGTGCAGACTATTCTTAGCACAGAGCGCGAGCAGATGAAGGCAATCACACGGTCCTCGGAGTTAAATCTGTGCAGAGTGCACTGCGGTGACTCACTGCAAGTCTGCATTTGTCTCCATTGTTTAGGCTCTATGAGATGGGATGGGGAAAACAAAACCCTCACCGCTGTTCAAACCCACTCTCGCTGTGCCGTGCAACGGGAGAGCTGTCACACTCTGCCGTGTAACTGAGGCCTCTAGCGGTTTGGAGCTGGCAATCCAGACAGACCCACGCACTGTGTGATGTTAATGTGGTCAGCGTGATGGCGCCTGCGTGGGGGACTGGCCGTCAGAATGACAGTGATGGGCTTTGTGAAACGCGGCCGAGCTGCAGGGCCGTGGGCAGGAGTTGTTTCACTTACAACACTGATTTTCGCAGAAATGTGAGGCTTCTCTCTTCCAATAATTTCCCTGTGAGGGACAAGTATGTTATCAAGGATTAGATTATGCAGTGCTCACTTTTTCTGACATGAAGCACACTTTAGTGGTGAGAGGAAATTTGTTTTATGCCAAATTATGTTTTACTAGAGGCCCAGCACACGAATTCATGAACTGGTGGGGGACGCTTGGCCTGGCCAGCAATCGGGGCCAATCGGGGGGTCGGGGGGAGTTGGCTAACCAGGGGGAGGGACTGCAGATTGGCCAGCATGGGGTAGGGACCACGGTAGGTTGGCCAGCTGGCCAGGGGGAGGAATGCGGGAGGTTGGCCAGTGGGGGATAGGGACCGTAGTAGGTAGGGGAGAGGGACTGGGGGAGGTTGGCCAGTCACGGGAGGTTGACTGTGGGAGCGCACTCATTGACCTGTCGTTCAGTTGCATATGCTTTTATATATAGATAGATAAGCTACGGTGACATGCCAGCACTTGGGGAAAATCTCCAAGGCCAGCGAGACACTCTGTTTAAGCAGCTGTTGAGTTAGCCCAGCAGCATCAGGTACTCAGTACAGCGTGACTACGAGCTGGTTAATTTCAATGCGAGCAGCAGCTGCATCACTACCCACTGAGCATCCCTCCTGACGGGAAGAGGCACTGTATCAGGGCTGTCTGAAGTGGGGTGAAGCCAGGGTCCAGGAATACACACGGCTCCATTGTCTCTTCACTGACTGATCTTTCTAAAACGCCTTATCGTCCATAATGGGTTTTCCCATCAATGAGCTTACCCCTTATCTTATTTGGCCCGAGTTCTTATTGCCCACGCTATAGAGATAAGAAAGTGAGGCATAAGGTTGTTAAATTTATCAGCCTAAACTTCAGCGAAATTCTGTCCAGAACTTAGATCGTCTGACATTTTGTGCATTGAGGTGCTCTTTCCGAGATCATGTTGTTCTCTTTCGAGAGTCATTCGGCAGCAGCCGCTAATATTTACTGAATGTTAACTATGGGTATAGGATTATGCTAAGTACTTCATCTCATCTAACCATCAATCCTATGAGGTAGGCGCCATTGCTAGTCCCCCATTGCACCTAAAAAAAGAATGTTCTGATTAATTGAGTAGCTTTCCCATCATTGAGTGGCTGTTACTGTCAACTGGATTTGAAATTCAGTCCATCTAATTCAAAAGTGTGAAGACATTGTTTGTCATCTTACCACCCCAATTGCTTAGAAATCAGTACTTTGCATAATGTTACATTTTACTGTCTATGCACTAAGTCCTTTGCCTGAAGCTCTGACTTCATTGTGTCCCCTGGATGTGTTCAGACGGCACTGGACTCTGTGGTCTTCCAGCTGGTGGTGATGTCAGTCAGGACAAAGCCCCAAATGTCTTCTCCAGCTGCAATTCCCACTCTCTTACTGACTCACACAATCCGAGCCACTACCTTCTCACTACACCTTCTCCATTCCACATGTCAACAGCACCAAGCCTTTAATGGAAGTAATTTCTCACAGGGGACCCGGGACATGGCTACTCCTCCAGACGAATGAGATTAGACGGTGGCCAACATACTGTCTCAATGTTTTATTTTTTTTTTAATATATTTTATTGATTTTTTTACAGAGAGGAAGGGAGAGGGATAGAGAGCTAGAAACATCGATGAGAGAGAAACATCGACCAGCTGCCTCCTGCACACACCCTACCAGGGATGTGCCCGCAACCAATGTACATGCCCTTGACCGGAATCAAACCTGGGACCTTTCGGTTCGCAGGCAGACGCTCTATCCACTGAGCTAAACCGGATTTGGCTGTCTCAATGTTTTAATAGTAATTTCCTGTAGACCAGGGACTGGCACGCACTTTGCATTCAGGGCGGGACCGGAAGGAGGTTAGGCCTGGAGAACCATCCTCTGTGCTGAAAGTCAGCCCTGCCCTTGCCGCTTGGAAAGCTGCACAGACACAGACGTGAGCCCCACGGCCAGTCCTCATGGACGTGGCGGCCTGAGGGTCATTACTGTTGACAGGCCACGAAATGCTCTTCTTCCGCTTTCCCAGTCTGCTTTCCAGCCGTTCACTAACCTGGACCTTCCCAGCCCGTGGCCGCGCACCTGCTCTGGGCGCTAACGAATGCCTGCATTGTTCTTGGCTGTGGCCAAGCTTGGGCTCAACCGGAGAACATCCTCTAAGCAGCAGCCACGTGAGTCTTCACGATTGTGAACGTCCTGACATTTTTTCGGACGTGTTTCTCCGATCCTGCCCATGTGAGAGATGAGGCGCAGGGTCCCCTCGGTGACACCCCCTCACCCATAGCTCCTCAGCTGCCCTGGGGCTCGCCGCCCGGGCTAGTCTGGTCGCAGACCGTGCTCACTCCCACACAGCGCTGATGTAACCATGGAAACCTGACTCGCCTACTTTCTAAACTAGACAGGAGCACGTTACCTCTGCTTTGCCATTTTACACGTTCACGGCGCCGCTTCCCGCTTTAGGAGCTTGGTGGCAATGGCTCAGGGCCAGCCGTGGGTGGTGTGGCTCCTAGTAAACCAGAACAGGCTATATTGTATTATGAAACCTACATCCAACAGAATGCTGAGGTGCTATTGCTTATATCATTTTGTTATGGTTTGACAAATAAAGTGGTAACTTAGGTGGCCATTGATTTGAGGAATTCTCACATAAAAGTTTCTGTTGCTTTTTACTGAAAAAATTAAGGCCTGAAAGATGCATGTCGCAATTTGCCCAGAAAGTTTCATCATCCCGGACTTGGAGGTGGTGAAATGCGTCCGGGCCTGAGCTCCATGCCTGGTGGTTCCCATCAGGGCACACACCAGGTTGTGGGTTCAATCCCCAATAGGGGCTCATATGGGAGACAAGGGAACAATGTTACTCTTTCATATCAATGTTTCTCTCTCTCTCTCTCTCTCTCTCTCTCTCTCTCTCTCTCTCTCTCTCCCTCTCCCTCCCTCCCTCCCTCCCTCCCTCTCTCCCTCCCTCCCTCTTTCCTTCTCTAAAATAAAAAAATAATTATGATAAATATTTTTTAAAACTTGTCAGTTGAAATTATAATGAATTGTAGGGAAAAAAAAGTTTCTTTAAACTTTTAAGCAATTACCTTGGACTGCAGCAAGGACGTTACTGCAAGTAAGTGAACTGCGTGCCCAATGTCGCCCTCGGCCAGCCGTGAAAATGGGCGCGGCCTGCTGGGCCCCGGCGTCCCTAGGACACCCAGCGTCTCGGACTGCGCTGGGCACGCCGCCCGGCACGCCGATCTCACTGTCCCTCCCCAGTGTGGACCGCACCGGCTGTTCTCGCGGGAGAAATGTCCTGACAATGGTGCACCAGCTCTGTGTCTGCTCCTCTCCACAGGGCCCCTCCTGCTGGGACGACGTGCTGATCCCCAAGAGGATGGCGGGGGAGTGCCAGTCGCCAGGCTGCCCCGGGACCAGCGCGGTGAGTACCTGCCGCTCCCCGTCTGCCGGGGGGCAATGACCCGGAGACAAAAATGCTGGCTTTTCTCCGTCCGATAACATTCGCCAAAAGTGGTGCAAGGTTCAAGAGTGTTCCTAACATTCGCCACAGCTTCTCCGTGGCACTGCCTGCCAGGCCTCCTTCCTGGGGCCGTGCTGCTCTGGGTGACCATGCCAAAGCGACAATTTAGACTCCTCGCAGAGCGACAGTCGTGGGATGTGAGGCGGAAGGGCCAGGCCCGGCACAGGAAAGGAACAAAGACAGTGTTGCTGTTTCTCCTGATGCGGCGATCCTGTACTGCGCCCCATGTCACTCAGCTGTCCTTCAGCCTTACGCTTGCTGGGGATGAAATCGAAGGGCATGTTTTGCAGGGAGAACTCTTAAGTACAGTTACCTGCAAGCACGTGCACACAGATGCGGTATGTGTATCTTAGAGTGTACACTGAAGGCCCGGTGCACAGCATTCGTGCCCTGAGACCGTAGGGGTGGGGAGGGGTCTCTCAGCCTGGCCTGTGCCCTCTCACAGTCCAGGACCGGGCCTAAGCCAGCAGGCGGACACCCCCTCCCCAACCCCCAAAGGGGTTCTCAGCGCAGGAGAGGCTCCCTCCACCGTCGCTGCCCGCACCAGCCGTGAGCCTGGCTTCTGGCTGAGCAGCACTCCTGTGGGAGCACACTGACCACAGCGGGCAGCTCCTGTGTGGTCAGTACATGTCATAGAGACCAGTTGGTCGATTTGCATATTAGGGTTTTATTATAGAGGATGATGTAATACCTTTAATAACAATGGTGGTAGGCCATACCCTCTGGTGTGCCTAACACTGGTCTCCATAGCATTTGGAAGTCTCCTCCCATCGTAGCCAGTCTGCCTGCCTCTCGTACCTTGAGCTCAGTGGCAGGATGGGGTCACAGAAGAGCAGGTAGTGCTGCCTCCATAGGTTTAGCTCCATCGGCCAAAGGGGGAACTGTGGAGGCGGGGTGGGAGGGGGGCTGTCGCTTGTTGCATCTCCCACTCGCCTGGGATATCAGGGCAGAGGGTTGCGTGTAAATCTCTGGTCCCGACGGCTCCGGTGCCCCAAACCCTTCCCACACCCCATCTACAAACCTGGATTAAACACAAGCACGTGTTTGTGAAGGATGGCTGTGCTGACAGTGAAAAAAATACGAACCAGGAATTCCGAGCAGCTGGACTGCAGAGAGGACACCTATAAACTGCAGCCATGATTAGGCAGGGGGCAGGGGGGCGCGGAGCCTGGGACAGCAGAGGTCACGGCAAGGTCAGGGCTCAGCAGGGGGAAGAGCAGCAGGTCCCCACACCGAGCAGCACCCGGCTGGGCGGGGGGCCTGGTCTACTCCGGCCGCAGGTGAAATGTCCCTGGGAACTTGGGGGCACAAACCCTTCTTCCCAAATTGGGGGGAGGGGGGCATGTGGGAGGCATTACTTAAAGGGAGGCTCTCTAGCTTCCAATAAAAGATGTGATAACCCAGAACAATATAGCAATTTAGAAAATGGCATCATGTTAGTGACGTGAACTTAATACAATATATTAGGGCCAGCTGTCAGAGTTCACAGATCAAGTGCATGAGTCTCCCGCCACTTGGAGAGATACATGCCGAGGGTGTGAGCTCCAGCAGCTCCACTCAGAACACTCAGAAAGGACGGGGCCCACTAACAGCCAGCAGACCGGCCACCCCACACACACACCTGAGCACTGCCCCCCCCAGCCCCGCCAACGAGGACACCCCACAGTTCCAGTGCGTTTGCGACACCTGATCATGTTCCCGGGCACGAAGGCATTCAGACTTCACTAGCCAGCAGGTAGCCACGAGAAGCCTCTTAAAGGTGGAAACTCAGTCACTTAGTCAATAAAAAATACCTGTGTGGAACTATGGGATCAAGCAATAAAGAGAACGTGCCACACACCAGTTCCTTTGGAAGATACCTGGATTCGCTTTTAAAGGGAGTATTTAATATCACAGATGCGTATTTAATTAAAAAAGAGAGTGACATTGTTTAAACATATTGTAAGATAAAGAAATGATCACCTCCTACTGTATCCCCCATGTCCAATGAGCCCGCCGGCTGGGGGGGACAGGACCCGCATCCCTCAGTCGGTGCCTCGGAGCCTCTGCTGGAGTGCGGGGTAGGGGTTGTGCACCGGGCCCTGTGTCCTCCCGGCGCCGGGCGCTGGCTCCGGAGGGAGGCGCCAAGATGAGCATTGGTAAGGATTTTGTCTTACGTTTGCCGGGGGTTTTGAATTTTAGACAGTGTTTTGGACACTCTATGTTATAGTCTCATAAAAAAGGTATAATTCCTGTCCCTTGCATAAATAGCCATATACTTAAAATTCAAAAGAGCAGGGCTCCAGGGCGGTCCTAATTAATATTTATGTACCGAAAGATACTCTAACCGGCTCATTTGAAGTAGCAGTGCCATTTAACCTTGGTTTTTAGAGAACAAATACAAGCTTGACCTTCACACGGAGAAACTGAACCGCATCCAGCTCCACACTAATTGGTGTCACCGTAGGACCGCGCGGCGCTGGTCTGGAAGGCGTCTCAGTTCATGAAAAGAGCCTTTCGGTCGATTCAGAGAGCGTGGGCTTGGGGTTAAGAGGGGGGATCAATAGGATGTTCTCCATTAGGGGATTAAGTCACCTTTGGGTATGATGTAAAACTAAATTTCCTGTGTAAATCTTCATTTTACATTTTGTCTACGATACCTTAAGATTTTGTGTCTGTACGTGTGCTGGGGGGTTGTTTTGTTATTTGTACACTCAGAGGCCAGGGTATTCTTCTTCTCTGGGCCTTATTCCTGAGTTCCACATCATAACTTTAAAAAAAATATTTTTATTGATTTCAGAGAGGAAGCGAGAGGGAGAGATGGAAACATCCATGGTGCGAGAGGACTGTCAGTCAGCTGCCTCCATTCTCCACTCTTCAGATAAGCCATGGCCACCGCTGTCGTGCTGAGGGGCGTCGGTTTACTGTTTCAGAGCCAATAGCACGCATCACAGTTCACCTTTTTGAGAGCACTGTTTACCGAAAGTGCCGTGTAAAAATGACATTTCTTTTTTAGATTACTTGATTTTGCCAGGAGCCGGAGTCTTTACAGAGAACTTCCTTTTCTTGTCAGAAACAGTTGAGAAGGGCCTCTAAAAATAGCTCCCTGATTTATTTCAAATAAAATCAGGTCCTAAAAACTGTCCCCTGAACTATAATAAATCGCATAATTAGTAAACGCAGTGCAGTAACCCCAGTGCTTCCCTCTCCCCGTGCGTTTACCTCCTGCCTGGGCCGCAGCGGGCCAGTCCTGCCGGGGGCATCGTGGAGGGGAGTTAGGACTCGGTCTCCAGCTCCGATTTCCTCTTCTCGGAGATGCTAACTAACAGGAAACGCATAGCATGCGAGAGGCGCCGGGGAGAAACCACCGTTACTGCCCAGGCGTTTGCTTACTTCATGTCCGGGCCTGGCTTGTTCATGTTAGTTCCCTGGCATTGCTCACCCACAGGGGCCTGCAGTTTCTCCTGCGGTTCTCACTGTCCTTTCATTTTTAGTTCATTTTTTAAATATACTTTATTGATTTTTCACAGAGTGGAAGGAAGAGGGATAGAGAGTTAGAAACATGGATGAGAGAGAAACATTGATCAGCTGCCTCCTTCGCACTCCCCACTGGGGATGTGCCTGCAACCAAGGTACATGCCCTTGACCTGAATCGAACCTGGGACCCTTTAGTCTGCAGGCCAATGCTCTACCCACTGAGCCAGACCGGTTTTGGCTTTACTGTCCTTTTCAACCTTGTTAGGATTTCACCCAGTGGACCCTCAGGGTGGCCTCCTGGGGGGCACTCCCTGTCCTTACCTGACCCCCAGCCAGCCACAGCCACAGGCTGCTGTGTCCTGCAAAGAAGAGAAGACTCAGGGCGAACAGGCGTCTGGGACAGTCACAGTGACACACCGGCCCTGGTGCCTCCCAGTATGCATGGAGCAGTCCCAGCTCCTGGCTGCTGAGGGCCGGGGGCTGGGGGTCAGGGGCCTGAGGGCTGCTGGCAGCGGGGCGAGGGGTGGAAGCAGACACGAGAGAGGGGCGACACCTCTGCTGCCCCCTCGCTCTGCCCTGGGGTTAAGCCGGAGGGAACTGGTCCCCGCCCACCCTGGCCCCCACACCTCGCTGTCTCACCTCCAGTAAGATGGAATGGTGCAGGGCCGAGGGCCTCTTGGGTTATGATGGAACAGTGCCGACACCAGACAAAAGGCTCTGTTGTCTGACATGCAATTTGGGTGACAAACTAGAAACTTCTGTCATTTTTCAAAATCCAATCAGGTATTCAGGCTCAAGGACACTTCACCGCCAAACTAAGTTTTGAGCACTTGGTAACAAAAAGTGTCATTTAAAAAAAATTAAGTCACATAAATAAATAGATAGATAGATAGATAGATAGATAAATAAATAAATAAATAAATACAATTAAGTCCCGAATTACAGAATCAGCTAAAATTTTGCATATTTAAGCAAAACATTTAAACATGCTTACATATAAAAATAAATTATTCCATTATGAAAAAGGTGTCAGGTGTTAAGAGCTAAAGAAATTTCGGCAGAATCGAAGAACTGGGGTATTTGTGAGGCTCTGTAGCCGAGAGTCAGTTCAAATGAATTTTTTTCTGCAACATCACCCCTGTCACTAGCCGCCGGCTCTCCCACAGCTCAGGGGCGGGAGCACCAGCCCTGCCTCGGTGTGGTGAGCGACTCTGCCCTGGTGTGGCTGCCTCTCTGGGGAGGGGACCGGGTGCCGGAACGCCGTGCACACCCCGTGGCCAGGGACAGCGCACACCGTGCCCGCACACGGCCTGGGTTAGTTGGTGATGCCACTTGCCAGAAACTCCTGCCGCTCGCACTGTTCCTTGCCCATTCATTCCCCTCTGAGCTGTGATCGATCTGGTTTTGTATCCGCTGGCAATGATGAGAGAGAACCATCAATTGGC